AAATCATCAAAATATCGGGAGGTAACGTTATATGGAGGCTATACGAAAACGTGGACCTGCACAGACAATTTTCTGTCTTAGACTGTAGTATCCATTTCGAACTTCAAATACCAAATTTGAAACAATTCCAGGGAATAATGTCGCTAAAATCATCAAAATACCGAATATCGGGAGGTACCGTTATATGGGGGCTATACGAAGGCGTGGAGCTGCACAGACAGTCTCCCGTCATACGATGTAGTATCCATTACGAACTTTAAATACCAAATTTTAAACAATTCCGGTGAATAATGTCGTTAAAATCATCAAAATACCGAATATCGGGAGATACCGTTATATGGGGGCTATACGAAAATGTGGACCTGAACAGACAATTTTCTGTCTTAGGCTGTAGTATCCATTTCGAACTTCAAATATCAAAATTGCAACAATTCCGGTGAATAATGTCGCTAAAATCATCAAAATACCGAATATCGGGGGGTATCGTTATTTGGGGCCTATACGAAGACGTGGACCTACATGACCCATTTTCAATGCCAAAACTCCTGCAGACATAATATACATTTGAGTTTAATTTTATTAATCTACTTCATTTCGTTTAGAAGCTAGAGTGATTTCCACAGACGAACAGACGGATAGACAGCCAGACGGACGGACATCGCTAAATCGGCATAGAATTTTATGCTGGTCAAGAACATATATACTTTGTTGGGTCTAAAATGTGTATTTAATGTTCCATTTCATCTAAAACTGATAAAAAATATTAAGATGTGAAAAGTTTATAGAAAATCGGAAATTAATTTTCAATTTTATAGGAATAAATTTTTATAAAAATCTTAAGCTTTTGTGGGGGAGGTACCAGAAGCTGTGGACCGATAAATTCCGCATTCACATCAGATCTCTTGTTGGGAGAAATATATTCATGTACCATGTTTAAAAAGAATCGCTGACTTGTTTTGCAAGTTATGAGAGATTGATTATGAGACACTTTTGTTGGCAAAAATGTTCGGACGTGTAAATTTAATAAAAATCGGTGCTAATTTCACATTTTATGGCGTTTTGTTTTCCAACATTCATGGTGGTGGTGGTACCAAAAGTTGTGGGCCGATATATCCTATCTTCACACCAGTTCTTATATTTTGGGATGTGACGAGTTTGATAGGAATACAGTGCTCATTTCGCCTTCTATGATCTTTATGGTTATTCAAAATGTTGACCAGTTGTGGGGGAGGTACCAGAAGAGGTAGTTCGTTCAATAAGTTCTTCGTACCAAAACTTGCGTTAGTAGAAGTACTGAGATGTGCGAAATTTGAAGACAATCGGACTCTTATTTCACATTTTATAAGAGCTATAATTTGTCTAAATGTTCCCCTTTTTGCGGGAGGTACTTGATGGAGTAGGCCGATATTATACATTTTCACATCTCAATTAGCACCAATGAAAATATAAGGACTTTCAAAGTTTAATAAAAACTAGATGATCCTCTCTTTTACTATAAGGTAATTTTTCCATAAAAATATTGACCTTTTGTGGGGAAGTACCAGAAGGAGTCGACCAATTTTTCGACGTTAAGAAGGTAACATCGTGCAATCATATATTTACCAGTTTTTTCAAAACTATTCATATTAAAAAATGTCATAGTCAACATTTATTTTCTATGAATTTAAATTTTTACAATCTAAATAACGGAAAATGCAGGACTGGTTATAGTACTTTGAAGTAGGTTAACCTCAATTAATTGTACCATGCTGCGGAAGAAGTGGACCGATCTTGTCGATTTACTCAACTATTTCAGTTAGGTAGATTTAGGCTGTATGAATTCATATAAATCCATTTGTTACGATTATGCTAAATTTCATGTAGATAAACGTTTAGAGATAAGTACAGAAATATCAAATTCCCGATTGTAAAGTCAAACATAAATCTCATTTCGTGTGTCGATTTGAAGCCCAAAATAAAAATCAATTGTAGTTTTATAAAGTTATAATTATGTCACACACATTTATTGGTTTAACAATTAGCAAGTTTTGTCATAGAATATTGAATTAAAATAATTTGGCAGCATATGCGAACCAATGAATTATACGCAATTGGTTTTTAGAACCTCTTCCATAATTTGAACATTATATTAATAAGAGTAGTAACATTTGTCAATCGATATGCTAATGTGAAATTGAATGCATAAAATTGACTGAAATTTTAACAATGCAGCCTCCACAATTCTTTTTCCAGGCCATCATTTCCGTAATATTATTCAATTTTATGATTTATTACTTAATACCAAAGCAATCAATATAAACACATGACGGCTTACGGAAGTCTAGATGAAATAACGTTCCAAGTAAATGTCACGTAAATTTCCTCAAATGTTTTACTTCAGTCAAATGCAATTTCAAAAACGATAATCTTGTTATTACACTTGTCTGTTTGTGGTTGTATTGGTATATGAGGGTGATGTTTTAACATCTACTTTTGCTTTAATTATCTTCTAGCAAATGATGAGATAAACGATTTTTTAAGACAAAGACGGGATGGCCAGTGTGGCATATGAAATGCTCATTTTCAAGATTCGCTATTGTTCTCAGTCATTTACAGTTGCCTATTGTCAAACGCTACTTTAAATTTAAGCGTTTAATAGTTGGGAAGGAAACGAAAACTGTAGAAGGTGCTACTCATCAGATAACCGATAAACTTGACATTTAACCAAAATTCTCTATTAAGTTTGGATAAATTTGAATTTTCAAAACAGTAATAGCATCTACCTATTTCAGCCGATTTTACTTTTTCGTTTCTGGTATAGTTTCGGCATATACGTTGCTGCAGTTTTGGCATTTATTGGGGTACTAAATTTGAAAGGGGGGAAATGTATATTAAATATCTAGAGTGGTGTAGGGTATCATATGGTCTGACTCATCAAGCAGTTGTCATTTCCTTACTAGGCAAGGAACAATATCAAAATTGTATGCATAAATGCATATCCGTTATAATATTGAAATTACGATATGAACCTCAATTAAGCAATTGGTGCAAGCTTTGTGATTAGTGTTGCTGACGATATTTTCTGTCTAAAAAGAAAAAAGAAGTTCGCAATACACCAACAAAAATATGAAAAAAAATGTAAATGATTAAGAAATGCGACATTAAATACTTAAAATTTCAAAAACAGGGCAATATCAGCCAACATTGATTGATAACAATACGTACGTAGATAAACTATAGCCCGTCATTTGTACTTTGATTCTTAAAAATGAGGTAAAATTTACTTTTTCTTCAGACCTCTCTCCCAAAAACTCAAACATTTTCCTGGCTTACTTTACACGCAATACACAAAAACAAATTGAAAATGAGAATATTTAAAAGCCATTATTAAAACAAGTAAGCGAAGGCTATAGTCGTGCGGGGCCGACCATTTGATACCCTACAACACTACAATATGTTAGAAGCCCCTTTATGTCCAAATCCATTTTGGAAGATTTCGCTTTTGAAATTATTTAACGCAGAACTGTCCAGATATTACCCTTAGCATTTTGACCAGGGACATTTGTCCAATATTTACGCACTCCGTCGTGCTTTTAATGCAAGAATTCTTCCCTGTCCTTAACTGTCTTTTCAGGCGTGTCGATTGGCTTCAATTTTGTGATCAGGAAATTTTTTCTGTTTTTGGTTCATTTGAACCTCTAAATATTTTGCAATCATCCCCAAAAGCAAGAGACCCCTCTGTATCTCCAAATTTAGACTCATCTATATGATTTGCTTGTCTAGGATATTTGGCCATATTCGTCAACTAAATCAGCAAAAAAGCCAGAAGTTTGCTTCTGTGTACTTCGGATATCGCCTGTAAGTAATGTTGGTATTTTTTCACACAATAGTAGTGGTCTATTCTACCCGCTGTCCTAAACTCCAACTTCATGCAAGATTTCGTGTCCTTTGGTTTCTATTTCTGACCTATATAACGGCTGCAAAATCAGGAACATTTTTAGTTGTTGGTCCATTTTAAGTTGCGGACATCATATATTGCGGACATCTATGTAACGGTTAGACTTGACCTGTTCGTCTACTTGTGATTTCGCCGGTATGAAAAATATTCGCGGTTTAATGGAAAATTTGACTTTTATTTAACACAAATGTTATGGTCTATTTCATTTCATTTTTCAGTTTTTGATCCATTTCAACCCCTAAATATTATGTGAATATCTCCGAAATCTTCTGGCCCTAGACCCACCTACATTCTAAATTTCGTGAAGATCGGGCCATAATTGCGACCTACCTGTAGAGTGATTACAAATTAACACGGACCGAAGGACGGACGGACATAGCTAGATCGACTCAGCTCAGCGAGACAGGAAGATCCATATATACTTTCCTATGTGGGAAACCAATATTTCGAAGTGTTACATAATTTTTGGCCCAATCAAACTTATAATACCCCCAACACATAGTGTTGTGGGGTATAACCAGAAGATTGGAGTTATATCGTTGTGTGAAGGACAAAATGGACAGGAAACTGGCGACAATTCTCACATGTGAACATTTAGTATATTTGGCTAATGATATCTGAGAAGCTCAAAACTAAATTAGGGAAAGCCTTCAAAATTTATAAAATAGGACGGTATTTCTATGCGACTACAAGGAACATAGAAAAAAGGAATTCAAAAACTAAACAAGTAGGTATTTTAACTTCATCGTGTGCAACAACATGTTACGAAACTAATTTAATGAGAACACAAATTACAACGAAAAAGTTAGAAATTGTGACTAACACCTAAATTGACTATACCAAAACGTGAGCTATTATTACCCATGATAACTAACAAATACCCTTAACGTAATCAAAGATTCTCTGTTAAATACAAAGGTCTCAGCACTATTCAGATTTTAACAGTCAGATATAATCTGTTCACAATTATGGATACATTTTTTTGTGAATGATGGCTACATATCTTGAGAATTTGCATATTAATTCTTAAAGTGGTTGCAAACGCAATTACAAAATCGATGCATTATTGAATAGTTACATTTTGTATTGTTTAATTCATGTGATTATTATGCAATATATTATTTTTTATACATTTTCAGCATCCACAGGAAATCATAGAAAAAAAGGTTTTATTATATAAAACAAGTTTTAGTACAAAATTTAGAATTTAAATATTAAAATATTACATTATCAATGATCGGCATTTTTAGTGCATTGACAAAATTTACTTTCTACAACATAAAAGATAGCCAGGCAACAATGAGACATGTTCCGCCCATAGGCGCCATTCTGGCAAATGGAGGCTTATTGCCGGTAAATGCACGATAGTACAGACAACCACTGAAAAGTGCTGTGCCCAAAACCATCAAGGCGCCAGACTAAAAAAATAAATAATATTATTATTATGTGCTCAGTATCTCCGAAATAATTAATACCAACCACCATCGGATACTTGGCCAGTGGCACACCCAATAACGCAATTGAATGAAAGAAATGGAAGCGATTGGCAGTATCAAAAATTGCACGCATTTCAGCATTATCTTTAAATTTAGCATGATGACTGCCAACGGCACCCAAAATTACGGCAGCCGCTCCACTTAAGCCAGCCAAACGAACAAAATTGTGATTACGTCCAGATAACTCCCACAACGTAGGCAAGGCTTTTACCAAATTTTTTGACATTGTTTGGGAATTTGAAGACTAGAAAAAATAAAATTAATTATATGTTCATGAATTCTCACTTAAACATTACACTTAATCCAGCGGAATTGGCTCTGAATAATGAAGATGTTGTTCCAATAACAGCTTTGCTCAATGGATTGCCCACTGCTATGTAATGTAGACCGTCAGTAATTGTCATTTTATGTTGCTTTTCGTTTCTTCTTCTTACAGCTGTTGCAAATTAACTTGTTGCTACTTTACCACAAAAAATAGAAACAGTTAAAAGGATTTATTTAGAAATTTCGTTCTCAAAACTTTTTAATATATTGATATATAAAAAAAGCATATACGTACATAAATATTTCTGTAATTCCCCGAATTTTAAATAAAAAACAAGAAACAGCACAAATACCGGCAATCCATAAAACTTAGAAAAAAGTCAAAGAAGAGTGACCATTGTGTAGAAAGAGAAAAAAGATATGCACTCTCGTTTGCATGCATTACGAATTGATAACTTGCTTCCTCCTTTTATGTAGACTATGCCATATAAATGGACGCCTGCATCAGGTAACTACATAAATAAATGCAAATGTTTTCTATTTAATCCCTAAAATTTTGTAGAAAAGAAAAAAATACGAACTATGACATCCATATGACGTATGAAAACAAGTAAAAATGTCTAATTGGGGGACAGGCTTAGCAGTATTTAAACATTTATTTGTAATTTTGTGTAGTTTGAGTATATTTGATGAAAGTCGAAATAGTTTTGTTTTAGAATAACCTTTCCTTTTTCTTCCTTTCAAAGTTCTGATAACAACGTTTTTCGTCTGATATCTGACAATAGTACCGCACAAACCATTTGCGCGGCATATGTATACATAGTTAACAAAATTTAGTTTGGAATAAAAATTTTATTTTCCCAAAAACAATTGTTTTTGTATTTGCTGTCCAATAAAATTAGTTCATCAAATATTTGCCCACTAAACATTTTGCCAGTTTTTTGTGTACAAAAAGAGGTTTCTAATATTTTTTCGTACCGTTTTTTTACAGTATTTATTTCGGCTAATTCTTTAAATTTTCAATACGAACATTGTTTTTTTGAAAAGGTAAATATGTTCGGAATTTTATACAAAAAGTTCTTAATTTTTCTAATGTTCAAAAAATATGACAAAAAACATTAAATATGAAACTGACTAGATCATGTGAACAACCATAAAATAATATACTGAATTTAACGAAACGTACTAATATTTGCATCCCTGAAACGAATGTAGCTTGGTGGCAAAATGACGAAGTGTGTCTCGTTCATTCGGTTTTTTACCTTCACCGTTTTAACTTGCATATAACTACAAGTAAGTATTAAATAAAATTTTTCAAAAATAATTTGTGATTGTGAAAATAAATTTGTGTTGCATAGTTGAGAAGAAATAATCATAGCATGTTTGTAATAGATTCTAATAAATATTTGAATGAATTCCATTAATTTTATAAAATGAAATGTCTGCCATATTGACTGGTCGCCACGTGTTTTCAATATAATGTGAAAATGTTTAAATTTGTTCTTTGTTATCGTGAAATTATGATTATTTTTTCTCATTCAATATGATGATATTTTCATATTTTCCTTTTGCGGTTTCCACCAGAAGATCAAATTTATCTCAGCATGGTTTTGATCTAAGGATGGTTTAAAGGTGTCTGATTCGTGTGCAACATAACCTCATTGTCTGCTCTAGTTGAATAAAAGTTTCATATTATTAATGTGGTTTTTGTTTACATTGCAGAATGGCGGACGCAGCTCCAGCCCGTGGTGGTTTCCGTGGAGGATTTGGTTCTCGTGGTGGTCGTGGTCGCGGCCGTGGACGTGGTCGTGGACGCGGTCGTGGACGTGGTGGCAAGGAAGACTCCAAGGAATGGGTTCCAGTCACCAAATTGGGCCGTTTGGTTCGTGATGGCAAAATCAACTCTTTGGAAGAAATCTACTTGTACTCTTTGCCAATCAAAGAGTTCGAAATCATCGATTTCTTCTTGGGCTCTGCCTTGCGCGATGAAGTTTTGAAGATCATGCCTGTCCAGAAACAAACTCGTGCTGGTCAACGTACCCGCTTCAAGGCTTTCGTTGCCATCGGTGACAACAACGGTCACATTGGTTTGGGCGTTAAGTGCAGCAAGGAAGTTGCCACCGCCATTCGTGGTGCTATCATCTTGGCTAAATTGTCTGTTGTCCCTGTACGTCGTGGCTACTGGGGTAACAAGATCGGTAAACCCCATACCGTCCCATGCAAGGTTACCGGCAAGTGCGGTTCCGTCTCTGTACGTTTGATCCCTGCTCCTCGTGGTACCGGCATTGTATCTGCTCCCGTACCTAAGAAGTTGTTGACCATGGCTGGTATTCAAGATTGTTATACCTCTGCCCGTGGCTCCACCGGCACTTTGGGTAACTTCGCCAAGGCTACTTATGCTGCCATTGCTAAGACCTATGCTTACTTGACACCCGATTTGTGGAAGGATATGCCTTTGGGTGCTACTCCCTACCAACAATTCGCTGATTTCTTGGCCGATAAGCCCGGTGCCCGCCATAACATTGATGCCTAAAAAAGTAATCATGTATGAAATTGTGCATTGATGTTCGAGAACATCTTAAATAAAAATGACAACTCTTCGGAGAAGTAAACTTAACGATTTAATGTTTTTTATTTACGGCCATTGGCCATTATGTTTTTTATTATAATGGCCAATGGCGGAATTCGACCTATTTGAAAAAAGGCTCGATTGATTAAAACTAGGGGAAAACATTAGTCAGCCATAGATAATTTTTATACCCTCTCATTTTGGAAAGGAGGGTATATTAACTTTGTCGTAGACCCCATAAAGTACATTCATAATCAGCATAAAATTCTAAGTCGATTTAATTATGTCCGCATATTTGCCTATCTGTTGAAATCACATTTGACGTAGAGCGTCAAAACTTAGCAGAACAATGTGTTCATGTTTTGGTATAGTCCCCATAATAACCTCTCGATATTCGGTATTTTGATGATTTTTGCCACATTTTTTCACGGATTTGTCTAATATTTGTTATTATTAGGTCATTATAGGCTCTAGCTCCGATGGCGAAACATTGTATGTATAGGTCCACGTTTTGGTAAATTGGTATTTGTAGTTCATAATGGGTTTTAGTCCGTTGCAGAACATTGAATACTTAGTTCCACGTTTTCCTATAGAGCACATATAACGATACCCACCGATATTCGGTATTTTGATCATCCTAGTCACATTTACCCATATAATTGTTTCATATACGGTATTTTAGAAGATTTGATATATGGCAATCCTTAAAGTATAAACTTGACTAGAGGCTCCATTTTGGAAGGGCCCCTATTTAACGGCCTCACTCAATTAATGGTTTTTTATAAGCTTAGCTGCATTATCTAAATTTACCCTAAGGTGGAGGATATTAAACGTTCGGCCCGGTCGAATTTAATGTTTTTTACTCATAAATAATTGAAATATTCCTTAAAGATTCTGTGTTTAAAGTTGTAGTAATGAAAACTTAAAGTATACATCCCGTCAAATAGAAGACAATGAAAATATGGTTTTATTTTGAGTTTATTCTTTATTTATGTATATTTAATAGTTTCATGTCGATTCTTAAGCCCACGACTTTTTTGAAAGCAGCATTTCTTCCGCAAGGAAAAGATACATCCCAATAAACCTGCAAGAAGAAAAAATAACTTGATAAGTTTTTGTATAAATGTTAGCATTTTAAATATCAATTTTAATAATAAAAACGTATCAGACAATCCTAAACCGTCATTAGCAGAACTTCCGGTGGAAACCGCAAAAGGAAGAGATTAGGGATATCATCATTTACTATCTAGATATATGAAAATATATACTTTATACTAACCTTTATCAAGGGACGTCAATTTTAAAGCCTTAAACGTTGCGAAATGGAACCGTTCATTTCATCTGAATGTCGTCATTCTGTAAAAAGAATTTATATAAATAAGTAAATGCATGAATTTTTTTTCAGACAATAATAATTAATAGTAATGAGGATCAGACAATCCTTAACCGTCACTAGCAAAGCTTCCGGTGGAAACCGCAAAAGGAAAGATTGAAGGATTTTCATCATATCGACTGATCTTAAATTGAAATAATTATTTCGCAAATACTAACCTTTTTGTTGAATTAGAAGACCTTTGGCGAAACACGTTTTTCAGACTGTGTGTGCCTGTAAAATACAAAAATCTACATTAGAAATATGATATATATTTTATCGAAGATTTATATTATATTGTTGCTATCAGGGATTGTAATTCTCTTTCAAAATTTTCTCAGTACAGGTCTGTGTAATTTTCATCAGATAAACGGAATGCACATTTATAAAAGAAATTAAATATTTACCTCAACATAAGATGAGATAGGCGCCGAATGAATATCATCGAGACCGCCATTTTGTTGGTTGCTATGAAAAATCCACGTGGTTGATCACTCTAGCCAATCTGTGAAGAAAACATTTCATGATTGATTATCCATATTTCAAAATACATTTGATAAATTTTATGTTTTACAAATCAATTCAGACTGCCGTAACATCTTAGTTTTAAAACTTGTAGTTGTGGAATTGTATGAAAAATACACACGATTTCACGAAAAAGTTAAAAAACTCAGTCTCGTCATCAGTCTCATCATAATTGAAAACTTTAAAAGCAATAATTTATTTATGGGTTCTTACCATTATCCAGCATACGATTGTTGATAATTTCTATCCTTTTCACGGAACGCCATTACTGTAACAGTTTTTATTCTCCTCTATCTCTTCGAGAAACGAACCGCTTGCTCGGAAATCTTTTTGGTAAAGAAATTTTTCCGGCGAGTATGTTGACTTATTTGAAGTTTTGAAAATTCACAGCACTCTACTCGCTCATGGTCTATCTACTCGCTATTGTTGCAGTGCTGCCAATATAGAAATATGAAGTAATTGTAGTTAGTGGCGAGGCGGCGTACACAAATTCTTTCGTTTGTGTCATAGATATGAGATTTGTCCATTACAGTATATTCCAGAAGCTTTCTAGTACTCATGGTACAATGATATCAAGGTAGGGCTATGATACCATATGATTTTAATTTTTTTATTTTTTTGGTTTAATATGTCATTTTTATTTGTTTATGTATGTGTTCTCTTTTCAATAACAAAAAAATTGTTCAGAAAATATTAAAATTCGGGTGTTTTCAAAATGTTTATTTCAACGTATGCATCGACAAAATTTAGAGTTTTTGTAGCGAAATAATCCTTTAGAGATACATAGTACATGATTTTGATAAGAAGTGTTGACCTTTCATTCAGTTATCGCGGTTTTCAGTTATTTATTCAAAATAAATGCAACAAGTTGTTTGATTTTTTATTGTTTTGATACTAATTCTGACATTACAAGCCAAACAGGTAGACCTCTATACTTGCAATTTTTTTAAAGTTGACCTACCTTCTCTTCATTGTACCATGCTAGTACTGTATTTTGGAATTAAGTCCTAAGAGATCATATTGCAAAAATACTACTCCTCTTCTATGCAATGTTCTGAACGGCCGTAATACCAACTACGCAAGGTCCAACCTCAACCACAAATAAGTGCAATCGAAATTTGTATTATTTATTAAATTTTTTTTAAATATATCATTGTTTGTTTAAAAAACCGGCTCCGTCACAGTTTCATTTTTTGAGGTTTGAAATTTTGATAAAATGATAAAACATTTCAAAAATAAAAAAAATCACTTAAATTTGTTACAATATTTAAATTCAGGATTATCTAAGAAGAATTACTAAAATGGAGTTAAAATACACTGAGTTTATTATTCAAAACTAAACATACAACTATACAATCCGGGTATATGTTTTGATAGATCGGACCCACAAGCAAAATATATGTTTAAAAGTCAGCTTTTTTCTACAACTTGATATCAGGTATACATGTATATTAGTGCGACACATTCCAATGCGACATAAAGAGATTTTATGGTTTGGTACAGCTGATTTGGAAATTCGTACTAAAAGGAAAAACTGATCATTACCTGCGCATTACTCCCTCAAATTTATCTCTATCCCCTCCCATCATCGATCCCATCTTTCCATATTATGATGTATCCTAGCAAAATGTTCAGTGTTCGTCATGGCTAGAAAAACTCAACTCTGTGTTGGAGTCTTATAGTGTCAAATAGACTTTAAAATGTGCAACAGTTGGTTTGGTTAATTTTTTTAAACAAAATTCTTATATTGGAGAAAAACCGCGAAACAAGAATGGAATGTTGAGGTTATTCCACAAGATTGAATCTGAAATAGTAGGACAATACTATTTTATCCCATTATCGGGCAAAGTGTTGCCTATTAACGTCGAAAATTTGCATTTATTTTGAAACCAAATTTTGAAATAATTTCAAATTATTGTATTTTTATTCAAAACAATACACATACATACAAAAAATATGTATATGTCTTGACAGAATAAGGGCACGAAATATATCATTGTTTTACCTTCTGTAATTCTGCCATACACGATATGCAAGCTACCAATCGATTCAAATTTTTGAATTTTCTTGTTTAGAAAATATTCATTTACCGTCGTATTCAAAATGCAAAATCTCCACTTTTTATGCCGAAATAAATATTTATATCATTCATTAAATCTTTCATTGGGTTTTCGCATTTTTTGTTATATATTCAAAATCGTTGCAACAAGTTGAATATTCACCCTCCTGAATATTCACATCAAAAATAACAGATCATGCTTTTGGATATCGCCAGAGAAATTATTATAAAATTACATGCTTTTGAATTATAAAAAAAGTTCCCAGAAAAAAAACGATTGATTTAGTACTGGCAGCTCGTTGTATAATATCGATAGGGAAAACTGTCAATCGATACTCTCTTATAAAATGGTCATCGATTGTTTGCCTGCTCTACGGGTTGTTTCTCTAGATTCATTTATTTACATTTATTGTTAAAGAATATGTTTTCCCTGTTGTAAATATCGAGATTATAAAAAGGGATACACATTTGGCATAAAAGATGGTGAATAAACAGGAATCTTTGATGGCTGCAATAACATTTTTTGCCAAGGCACATGCTGGCGAGGTCTGTGGTAGCAATGGACTCCCCTTGACACCGAATTCCATAGCGATATTGGGTCGATCGCAAAAGCTTAAAGAATTAAGACATTCTAATTTGTGTCAGTATTTGGATGTTATACGGGGGAAACATGGTATGTGTGAGCAACGCCCCTTTAATAATCCCCGAAAAAAACGTTATCTTAATACTTTGATTTCCTCTTTATAGAGCGAACGGTAGTGGTTTCCGAGTATCATGGCACAACTTTGCAGGAAAAATGTAAAGATAAACTAAATAATGATTTAATACTGAGGCTTTTTTATCAAGTGGCATCTGCTTTGAAGGAACTAAATGAACACAAGCTTGTTGCACACAATCTTGAACCAAAACACATACTTTTGGATGCTTATAATAATGTCAAGTTATTTAATTATGGTTTATTTTACATGACAAAAAGTGGAGATCATGTTGCATTTCCCATTGGAAACATAAAGTACATGCCTCCAGAAAGACTGGTTGGCATTAAAAATAATTGCAAAAGCGATATATGGTCTCTGGGTATGATAGTTGCAGAACTTTTGCTACAAACTCAGTTCTGGCCAAATCTTAAAATTTCAAGTATATCAAGAAAAATTCTTTCCTTCTGTCAGTCCTCAAATGTCTTTGAGAAGATAGCAAGGGAACATGATAAACTTGAAATGTATCAAGAACTGGATCCAGACTTGCGGAACCTTGTCGAACAATGTTTGGCTGTAAAACCAACAGATAGACCATTACCGCAAGAAATTCTGAACCATCCACTTTTTGTAAGGAATCTCGATTTGTATTTAGTAACACCCAAGGAAAAGTCCTCAACACTTTTGCTACGCATGCCCTTGGAGCAAATTTACTACTGGTGGCAATTGGCCGGTGGGGATGTTCAAGCAGAACTCAAAAAAGAGGGGCTTATACGTAGCGAAGCTCCCATTTTGTCTATCCCTCAAGTTGTATGTTTAAATGGGAATATAGCTGGACCAAAACGAAGCCAATCGTATTTGATGGATGATCGTGTGGTGATATTAAAAATGCAAAATCTATTGGATCGCTTAAGTAAGATTCCCGCAATGGCATACTATCCCCTTATACATTCACCAAAATTTCCTTATAATTTTGGAGTCGGTATGGACCAGTTGCCCTTGGTGATACGCGAAAAAGACATTGAATATCAATTTTATAGAGTTCGCCTATTTTCTCGCTTGCTTCAGGTAAGTGACAAAACCACTTCAAAATCCAAATCTGTTTCTACATAATTACAATTTTTTAGGGATATCCTTATACATCAGAGACAATAAGAAAAGAAGCTGCAATTGACATACCCCCTCTGCTAAGAGGTCAAATATGGGCATGTCTTTTAGATGTAATACCAAATGGGAGTTATGAAAAGATTGATAAATTTACACCCACCTCAACTGATCGCCAGGTATACATTTTTTTGAAAAGCATATTATTCATTCTTAGGCAATAATGTTCTCTTTAGATCGAAGTGGATATACCACGTTGCCATCAATATGATGAACTCTTATCCTCGCCTGAGGGACATCTAAAGCTAAAAAGGCTGCTGAAAGCTTGGGTAACTGCCCATCCCCAATATGTCTATTGGCAGGGACTTGACTCACTTACTGCACCATTTTTGTATTTAAATTTCAACAACGAAGAACTTGCTTTTCATAGTGTCTATAAGTTTATACCAAAATATTTACAATGGTTTTTCCTCAAAGACAATTCAGCCATTATTAAAGAATATCTTTGTAAATTTTCTCAATTAACTGCATTTCATGAGCCAGTATTGGCGCAGCATTTATCGAATATAGCATTTATACCAGAATTATTTGCAATACCTTGGTTTTTAACAATGTTTTCACGTAAGTGAATCTCTGTTTTTTTCTACATAATTTTCTATTTAAGAATATTGACATTTTTCAGATGTTTTTCCTCTGCATAAGATTCTTCATTTATGGGATAAGCTAATGTTGGGCGACAATTCGTATCCCCTTTACATTGGAATTTCAATTCTAAAACAATTGAAATCCACTCTCTTGGCATCTGGATTCAATGAATGTATACTACTTTTTTCGGATTTACCAGACATTGTGATGGAAAACTGTGTGGTGGAATCACAAAAAATGTATGAGTCTACACCGAAGAGTATAGCCCACCGATTTCATGTAGTTAGAGAAAAGGAACTTGGACCATTTGTAAGTGACATAAATGACATAATTATTTCGAATAAATAATAACACAAATTACCTAATTTAGGATATCACACCGGATGTCACTCTGGCTCATTTACAAAAAGAAATGTCACCACGGATCAGTGCCAACGATTTGCATTTCATGCTTAGAAATGATCCAAACGCTATGCTTTGTTTGGATATACGAAGTGTGTCTGAATTCAATCGTGTTCATTTGCCTGATAGCATAAATATACCATTTAGCAACATCAACATGGACGAAAAATCTTTGGAATTACTAAATGAACCACTTTTGGAGGAGAAAATGCACAATCGTATCATAATTTGTATTAGTAATGTCCATGAAAACGCTGTGGAGGTAAGATTTTATAAAATAAAGTTCGGATAAAGATAAGTTCGAATTTAATATTTGTCATAATGAAAACATTTGATTTCACATTGGAACATCTTTAGAAGATAATTCGTAGAAATTTTAGAATCAGCTCTTGTTCATTATTTTTGAACCTTCCCAAAAAATGAACCAATGAAATAATGAACCAATGAAATATATTGGGAATTGATTTCTGCTTTTATGTAAATGTAATTATCAAAGCTGGTATAATTGGTTGATCAAGTTATACGGAGAAAAAAACGGTCCCATTGCCCTCTAAAATATTTCCTCTAGAAATATTACTTTTTTACATGATTCTTTTAATATTTCCATAAATCTCATAATGATAAGATATGTTGATATATAGAGTGGACGATTTTGCGGCCTTTATCGGGTCCACGCAGTCTTTTATCCGAATTATTAGTTTTTGTTGTTGGTTCTTTCTGACATTCACCTAAAATTCTTAAGTTTTTTTAGAATCTGCTATTATTTCTTAATTAACATATTAGTTAATAGAAAATAATTTATGCTCAAAATGTAAATCAACAATTTTTATTGATATTTAGAAATCTGTGTATGCATGTCTTGTAATTTTTAAGTACAACAATTTTAACCGTAACTCTCTTGAATTTTGCAGTTTTCTAAATTTCTTGTGGAATGTGGAGTATCACGTGTTTGTATATTACACCAAGGATTCAACATTTTACACTCAATAGAACCGAATATCTTAGTTTCTAATTAAACGTAATTAATATTTAATTAAAATAATTTCCTTAGAAATTAAGATCTCGCATTAATTGTTTTCAATTTGTATGTGTGATTTATACAATATTTAAATATTAAATATATATTTATTCTCAAAAATTTTCTTTTAAATAATTAAATATAAGCATCGGTGGTTCAGTGGTAGAATGCTCGCCTGCCACGCGGGCGGCCCGGGTTCGATTCCCGGCCGATGCAGTTACGTTTTTGTTCTTATATTTTCTATAATGAATTTATAAAAAAAGTAGATTGTATCGGCCGGGAATTTTTGTTCTAAAATTTTCTATAATGAAATTATAAAAAAGCTATTTGCATCGGCCGGGAATCGAACCCGGGCCGCCCGCGTGGCAGGCGAGCATTCTACCACTGAACCACCGATGCTTGAAAGTACTGCGGGCTAAGATTAAACCGGGCATTGTCATGTTACTTGACATTATTCAGTTGATGCTGGCAAAAAAATGGATTTTATATTAAATACATAGATTCAGGTGCGGATAGATAGAGTTGGATGTTTCTTTGTACAATACTAACATTTGTAATTGTTTACCTTTACGTATGTATGTAGAACATAGTGTAGAGTACAGAGTATGTATTAAAAGTGAAAGACATCTATTAATTTTGGTATATGTGTTGATGTGGAATTGTCGTGCCATCTTTAAAAGTTAAAGTTCGATGTTTGTTTTTGAAAGTCATCCAAATGTCACTGTTAAGTGATTCGGAACATGGGATAACTACATAAAGTATTATTAATTGTATGCAATTCTGGATTCTACATGTAAGTTCGAGATACCTTCAACGGGACAAGGTCAGTCATCACTCTTACCATATTCTCCATCTTTCATAAGTAAAGAGGCATAAATAAAAATTTACGGTGGGTTATCTTAAATTTTTCATGCTAGACTTGACTGACTATCCGCGAAGAACATTTTTAGAGTGTGTTAATGAAGCGGATTCATAAGATTGTTTGTAGCAACTCATCGACGACATTATACATGTTCGGTCCGCTTGGGCATTGTTGCTTTGCTAGTTCTTTATTTTAACTTTTTACAAGATGCAGGATGCCGAGCAAATTGCAATTTAAGTAGTGTTTTTTCATCTGCAGCTTGGTTCTACAAATTAATGAAACAGGGTGTGGGTTATTTTTTGTTCCCCAAAAATTTCAAAGCGGCCGACTTGAAAAGCAAGCATCGGTGGTTCAGTGGTAGAATGCTCGCCTGCCACGCGGGCGGCCCGGGTTCGATTCCCGGCCGATGCAATCGTTTTTATTTTTTATATAATTAATGAAACTCAGCATTAACCATTACGAGAACGTTAGATTACCAATAACAAGTAAAAAGGCTGCAAGTTCGGCCGTGCCGAACTTTGAATCCCCTCCACCATATGAAACGAATTTGAAATTTTCAAAAAAAATAAAATCCGTTAAAAATTCTGTTAAAATCTTAAAAATACCAAACGTAGCCCTCGTATTAGGGTCTAAACGACGACTTGGACCTGCATAGGCAACTTTTGTCATAAGCCATTACAATATTCAAATATGAAACTTAAAAAAAATCGGTGAAAAATGTAGCTAAAATCATTAAAATACCGAATATAGGGAGGTACCATTATATGTGGACTATACCAAAACGTGGACCTACAAAGACAATTTTTTGTCTTAGGCTGTAGAATTCATTACGAACTTCAAATATCAAATTTGATACAAAGGTGAATAATGTCGCTAAAATCATCAAAATACCGAATGTCGGGAGGTGCCGTTATTTATAAAGTTGTTCTAAATAGTTTTAAACACAACTAGTCGTATATATAAACTTAATGGAATTTTCTCCCACTTCCTTAAAATATTACATTCCACATAACGTGGCGTAACTGAAACACGGCAATTTATCAAAAAAGATGTGCGTTGGCCGGGAATCGAACCCGGATCAACTGCTTGGAAGGCAACTATGCTGACCATTACACCACCAACGCCCTGACGTATTGGCGATGTCGTAGTACTTTTTTGCTCAAATATTGGCACAAACAAAAAATATACACAGTGGTTTGGCTGTGTCAGTTGGTCGCTAAACATACAAGCATCGGTGGTTCAGTGGTAGAATGCTCGCCTGCCACGCGGGCGGCCCGGGTTCGATTCCCGGCCGATGCAATAATACTTTTTCCGTTTTTTTCCTTTAACTAATTTAAAAACCAGTAAGGAAAGCTCAAAAGTCGGGCGGGGCCGACTATATGATACCCTACACCACTATGCATATTTAGTAGAGCTCTCGTAAAAAGGTTTATACAGGGCATTTCAGAGCTCTATGAGATATTTGGTACAAAATCAAAATCTATCTAATTCTATCGTGCATTTTACGAACTATAGCTATCTCTGAACCGGGTTTCTCCAAATTTTACGTATTAGCTTCCAGACTGAATTCGGTCTTATTTACGAAAATGCAGGTGATTTGGGCTGATATTGACCATTTAGTGCACATTTAACCCGAAATCGGATGAAGACATATATGGGAGCTATATCCACATCTGAACCGATTTCGATAAAGTTTAAAACAGCTATTCCTGTGCTCCATCTAATACCTGGTACCAAATATCACGGTTGTGGAGTGAATATTACGAATGTATGGGACTAAAACACTAAATTGGATGAAACATATATATGGTTGCTATATCTATATCTGAACCGATTTTCACTAAATTTGATATACTTGCTTCTAGGCTGAATTTGGTCCGATGTACTAAAATTCAGTCCATTTGGACTTATATCGGCCATTTGGTGCACAATTAACCCGAAATCGGATGAAGACATATATGGGAGCTATATCCACATCTGAACCGATTTCGATAAAGTTTAAAACAGCTATTCCTGTGCTCCATCTAATACCTGGTACCAAATATCACAGTTGTGGAGTGAATATTACGAATGTATGGGACTAAAACACTAAATCGGATGAAACATATATATGGTTGCTATATCTATATCTGAACCGATTTTCACTAAATTTGATATACTTGCTTCTAGGCTGAATTTGGTCCGATGTACTAAAATTCAGTCCATTTGGACTTATATCGGCCATTTGGTGCACAATTAACCCGAAATCGGATGAAGATATATATGGGAGCTATATCCAAATCTGAACCGATTTCGATAAAATTTAAAACACCTATTTCTGTGCTCCAAAATTTTGATATACTTGTTTCTAGGCCGAACTCGGTTGGGTGTGCCAAAATTCAGGTAATTTGGGCTGATATTGGCCATTTGGTGGTCAATTAACCCGAAATCGGATGAAGATATATATGGGAGCTATAGCTGTTTCTGAACCGATTTTCTCCAAATTTGTTGTATTTGCTTTAAGGCTAATCTCGGTCACATGTGCCAAAATTCGAGCCATTTGGGCTGATATTGGCCATTTGGTGGTCAATTAACCCGAAATCGGATGAAGATATATATGGGAGCTATATCCAAATCTGAACCGATTTCGATAAAATTTAAAACACCTATTTCTGTGCTCCATCTAATACCTGGTACCAAATATGTGGAGTGCATAGTAGGAATGTGAGGGACTTAAAGATCAAATCGGATGAAAGATATATATGCTAGCTATTGCTATATCTGAACCGATTTTCCCCAAATTTAATATACTTGCTTCTAGGCCGAACTCGGTTGGGTGTGCCAAAATTCAGGTAATTTGGACTGATAGTGGACATTTGGTGCACATTTAACCCGAAATCGGATGAAGATATATATGGGAGCTATATCTAAATTTGATCCGATTCTCACCAATTTCAATAGGGTTCGTCCTTGGGCCAAAAAAATATTGTTTGGAAAATTTTATCTCAATCGGATAATAAATGCGACCTGCATTTTGTTCACAAGAATACATGGACAGACGGACGGACGGACGGACGGACAGACGGACGGACATGCATAAATCGACTCAGAAAGTGATTCTATGAAGGTTCTCAAAAGTAACTATGGGTCTATCTCGTATCCTTCTCCATGTTACAAACAAATGCACAAAGACATAATACCCTTACCACTATGTGGTGTAGGGTATAATTAGGAACCACACGATAAGACTAAGAATGCAAACCAAGCCAAAAATGTAACATATTGTTACAGTGCGTACGGAAAACCACACTTGACAGAGCAAATTATGTAAATAATCAATGTTCAATTTTTTCTGATTTATTTTTTGGTGTACAAAATCTCTTATCATCCACTACGTGGAGCAGAGGAATATTCATCAATATGTATTAATTAAAAATTACTATATAAAACAAAAACAAAAAAATACAATGCATTTCATACAAATTCAATAATAAAACAAATAAAAAAGCTGTTAGTTCGGCCGGACCGAACTTTGATTACCCTCCACTATTTCGAACGAATTTGGCAATATTGAAAAACAATAAAATCCGTTAAAAATCTTTTTAAAATCTCAAAAATGCCGAATGTAGCTGTTATATTAGGGTATGTACGAGGACATTGACCTGCATAGGTAACTTTTGTCATAAGCCATTACAGTATTCAAATGCGAAACTTAAAACTTTTCGGTAAATAATGTAACAAAAATCATCAAAATACCGTATATCGGGAGGTACCGTTATATGAGGGCTATACGAAGACGTGGACAATCTCCTGTCATAGGCTGTAGCATCCATTACGAACATCAAATACTAAATTTGAAAGAATTTCGGTGAAGAATGTCGCTAAAATCACCAAAATACCGAATATCGGAAGGTACCATTATGTGGGGGCTAGGCTGTAGTATATATTTCGAACTTCAAATACCAAATTTGAAACAATTCCGATGAATATTGTCGCTAAAATCATTAAAATACCGAATATCAGAAGGTACCGTTATATTGGGATTATACCAAAACGTGGACGTACATGGCCCATTTTCAATACCAAACGTATAAAAAAATGTATATTTCAAAGCTTAATATATAAAAAATAATAAAAACAATTCCAATAATTAATCAATATTCGTTTGCAGAAGCATTTGGGAAGGGAAGAATTATTATGTAGAGTTAATAAACTTCTTGTGGGAAAAATTAATTTTTCCATAAAAATTT